GTCTCCTACCATTGTGGTGTCTGAGCCTCTGTTCTGGTGGGGTGCTTGTGGATTTAGGAGGTTGGTGGCAATTTCCTCAAAAGAGCTTGCTTTTCCATTTTATTGTTGTACCTGTCTGTAACAGTCTGGTGATAGGGTTACGCCTCATCTTTTTTTTTTCTTTTGAGCATTTTTTCTGTTTCCTGTCTGTAACAGTCTGGTGATAGGGTTACCTTTTTTTTTTCTTTTGAGCATTTTTTCTGTTAAGAAATCTCAATATTGGAAGTCAAGCAGAATGCATATTTCAAATGGCAAGAGGAAGGGAGGAGAAGGTTGCTGTGTGAGCTCTGAAAGATTTTAGGAGTTGAAAAGGTAAGAGCAGCAGAAGTGATGAAGTTAGGCAGAGGAGAGGAGGAGCTGGTAGGGAGAAACAAGGAAAAACAGGAATGGCATGGGAAGGACTGGCCTGGGCATCTTACCGGTGGTTATGCAGAGCCCCTTCTGCACTGATCTCACCCCTGCGTGTCCCAAACAGCTTTGACATTTTGTCTGATTCGGCGTCCTGCCTGCACACAGCTTGAAATTTCTGTGGGTGTTGGGTTTAACTTCTTTGTGCTCTTTCCCCCTGCCTGTAAGCAGCCATCGGCACCTCGCTTCTGGCTGTGCTGTGCTGCTGCCTGCTTCTGTTGCTTTATCAAGGGGGGGGTGTTGGTTTTTTTAATGGACTAGGCGAAAAGCAAACAGCCTTTGTAAATGACGTGGGAAAATGATCTGCCATTTCTAACTATAGCCATCTGCAGTTCTGTTCGGAAACGGCTACAAGAGATGCAGATAACTACCATTTTTTAATTTTGTTTTAACATCAGTAGCTCTTTACCTGAACTGTTCTTACTTGGGGCCTGCCAGGGAGGCAGTGAGGTACTTTCAGGGGGTGTTGTGCCCTGGGTTCAGGTAGGAGAGGGATTCCTCTTAATGAAGGGATGGGATCCTCCTGTGGCCTAGGGTTTGAAGTTTGGGGTTTTTTTTAAAAAGTAGGCCACTTTCAGAGTATGGTGTGTCAGTGTGTAGTGCTTTCTGCAGCCTGTATTACCTATCCAGTCAGCTAGTCTGTGCAGGACTATTCTTTTCAATGTGATTTTCACACTCGGACATGAGGGATGTCTTTGTTGTAGTCTGCCTGGTAGCAAAAATGACAGTTGCCCGTAGTCTAAACTTTTCACTGGTGAAAGGAAATCTAAATTGCTGGAGACTGGCAGCAAAAAAATCTTCCTCTGTTTGAGTATCAGTATGAATACAGTAAGAGGCTGCTTCACTTTAACAACCTGGAAAACAGCAGAACTTTGTCTGTCGAGCCGCTTTTCCCTTTCCTGGAGGCAGTGTTTTTTTCTTATTTGATGCCAGACACCCGAAACAGGCGTTTCTCACTCTGTGATGAAGAGGTGGGGCATAGCTATTGCCTGAGTTTGAGGATGGTAAACAGTGGGACTAGATCCCTTCAGACTGTTGTGATGCTTATGTTTGGTGTTTCTTGTTTCCCAGTGGGCTGGCACACAGGCTGAGCAAGAGGAGGGGCCCTTTGTCATCCTAGTCGTGTGTGGACCTGAGAAGAGGAGGAGGAGACGTTGTTTGACCTGAGCTTCTGGGGAGGATAGATCAAAGTAAGTGTAGTGCCGTGCTGCCTCCTCTTACCGTTGTCTTCGTTATGAAGTGTCTGAGTCAGCTCCTCGAGCGCTCTTTGACACTCGTCACCCAGCATTCTTCTTTAGCTGCGTGTTTTCAGCAGTGGTGATGTACTTACTTTGTGTACCTTCATCCAGTCGGTGACAGAATGCGAAGGAATGAGTGCTTGAATTAAGTTGCCTTTTCAAGTGTGGCTAAAATGGCAGCATGCTTCAGGGGAATTCTTTTATATCCTACATTACTGCAGGTCTCGTAACCACAGATTAATATTGTAAATGTGCTTGATTGGAGCCAGCTCTGCTTTTATTCTCACCCTTGGATGGGAAGATGCTAAGAACTGTTTGAAAGGGCTACCCCACATAAAGTTGAGAGAAATGTTTAAGTATGGGTGCTTCAGTTGGTCTCTCAGGTGCTTTTCTATCTTATTTTTTTACTACCTACAACCATTCAGGTTGCCAGCATTTTACTTTTTCCTCCTACCTAAATACTGGTATAAAATAGGTTTGCTGTGCCTCTTACCATGAAGTTCTGGCCTCATTCTTTCATATTTTATTTGGCATGATAGATATTATATTTCCCTAAGAACCTGCATGAGAGAGGTGGAGTCTAGCCGATCCAGATACATGCACGTTATCCTCAGGTTACTGCTGCACGCATGGTGCTGCTGAGCAGAGTCCTGCGTTGGCAGGTGTAAAAGTCTCCAGGAAGTTATCATCAGGAAAGCTTTTAAAACAGGTTCTATAACCTCCACTTGTTAGGTTTTAGGACTGTATTTGGTTAGTTAGAAACCAACTTGACTGTATCAGAGATAGTGGAGCTGAGCACATGTGTGGATGGATGAGTAGGGTTATGATGGTCTTTGGATGTGGCCTTGGCTGGCGAAGATGCAAGCAATTTCATTAGCTGTGCAGGTGAGTTGATGTGTGCTGATCTGCTGGAAGCCTGAACGGAAAAGAGTACAGCTTATGGACTGTCAGTCGGCATCGTATTTTCCTGCTTGTCTGCTCATGTTTTATGTGGTTTTGCTTTGTTTATTTTTTTGGGAAAAGTGTTCTCCTCCTTAGTTTGACTTCTGTTATAAGAGGAATACAAGTGAGGTCAAGTCTATACTGATCAGAGAAGGACTTCTGCAGGGTGTGCACAGAAAGCTGTCCTAATAGGGGCCTTTGGGTCTTTGAACACCACCATCGCACAAAGTGCTTCTGTACAAAGCTCCTGAATCTACATTTTTTTATTTGTGTATCAGGATGTGAATTTAAACAATACGATGCAACTTCCTTCCACAACGAAAAAAGCTGCACTCCATCTGACAGATTTCATGTCTAAAAAAGCTTGTTGGCTTCCGCAGGAGTAACTGTAACACAGTAATAAAGACAGACTTTTCAGAGAAAGTATTTCCTTTCCTCTCCTCCATGCACGACGTGGTCATGTAAGTGAAATAAGGTATCCTGCCAATTAGGCAAAGTAACTTTCTAGAGTCTCTGGATTTCCTGTTTCGCTGAGGAGTAGGTAGTGGTGCACTGGAGATGCTTGCTGTTGGGCTGGGGTCATAGGATAGTTGAGGTTGGAAGGAACCTCTGGCAATTGTCTCATTCAGCTCCTTGGCCCAAAGCTGGGTGACCTGGAGCAGTTTGCTCAGGGCCACGTGCAGCTGGGTTTTGAACACCTTCAAGGGTGGAGGCTCCACAGTCGTTCTGGGCAACAGAGTAAAAAAGGAGTTTTTCTTAGGTTTAAGTGTTTATTTTTTGTGTCCCTCATGATGCTGGACACTGCACAGAAGAGCCTGGCTCTGTCTTATTTACACCCCCCCCATCAGGTATATGCGTACGTTGGTGAGATCCCCCTGAGCCTCCTCTTCTGCAGGATGACCAGTCCCAGCTGTCTCGGCCTGACCGCACGTGACAGATGCTCCACTCCCTTAATCATTTCAGTGGCCCTTTGCTGCACTCCCTCCAGTATGTCCACCTTTTCTCATAGTGGAGAGCCCAGAGCTGTACTCAGCACTCCAGACGTGGTCCTGTGAGCACTAACTACAGCACAACAATAGCCTCCCTCACCCTCCCTCACCGTCGATGTTCTTCGGGAGCCCAGGATACTTTTCATCCAAGAAGTGTATTGACTTATGGTCAACTTCTCCATCCCTGGGTCCTTACTGCACACCTGCTTTGCAGGCAGCGGTCCCCTACCTTGTCTCCTTCCCAGGTGTAGGACTTGGCATTTACCTTTGTTGACCTTGGTGAAGATCCTCTCTGCCCACTTCTCCAGCCCATTGAGGTACAGCAGCACAAGCACCTGCTGTATCAACCACTCTTCCCAGTTTCACATCATGTGCAAACTTGCTGAGGGTGCTCTTTGTCCCATCAGCTAGCTCTTACACCATATTTGTTTAAAAAGCAGTATTGCTGGGTACATGAGAAGGGAAATTGGGTCTTTAGTCCTCGATCCACCAGAAATGCCATTAAAGGTTGTAGGTAGTTATTGCTTAACTGTGTTCAAGCAGCACAGAGTTGTCATAGCTAACGTTGAGCTGGGCAGACAGTGTTTGCAGGTATATCTTCCTCAGGTCTAAGAGCATTGTGGTTGCACTTTCATGGCATTGTAACTCAGTTTGTAAGTCCTGATGGGACAATGTGACCTGCTAGTTTCTATGAAGGCTGCAGATTTGTGTACTACCTCTACTATTCTTTTTTCTACTATTTGTGTACTACCTTTACTATTCTTTTTTTCAGAGCTTGTGCAGAACGTGTCTGGGTGCTTCTGTGTCATAGCCCTAGTGCTTCTTGTCACAAGGTTGAGTTCTGAACTGCCAGTTCAGGTGTCTCTGCAGCCGAGGCTCCAAGTTACTTCTGACAATTATTGCTGAATGTTCCTTCCCTGCTCTTTCAGTTATGTGCATAAGGTGTTACTTAGTAAAACAAGTTGTAGAGTACCCAGAATTAATACCAGTTGGCAGGAACGGTTGACACTTGAATTCAGACACTCATTTGGCTCCCAGTCCATGCAGATGCCCTGGTTTTGAACCCAGGATGGAGAGGAGCTGTGGAAGCTGAGAGCACATTAAGTACAACTTTCAGAAGCCAAAGCAGCTGAGGTTAAAGTAGTAGTTAAGATTAAAGCAGATGCACCCTTAAGTAGCCTTTTCTGTGACAGATTCAAGTGTTGGTTCTCCTAGCTGTTAAGTCTGCTCAGTTCTGTCTTCTGTACACAGAGCTCCATGGCAAACCTTAGCAATTTCAGAAAGACCAAAGGTATCATTTGAAAGATGGTTTTGGGCATACGTTCATGACCATTCTGATATAACCTTTTGGGTTTTTGTAGATACAGACTATTCGCTTTCCAGAATGTATGTTGGATATGAAGATGCTGAGGACACTGAAATGTATGAAGATGAACTTTATCACGAGGAGTCATCCAGCGAGCAGAGTGTTGATAGTGAGGTGGAATTTCATCTCTACAGCCAGATCCACTATTCCCAAAATCTTGGAGAAATCAGCGCACTGGAAATGGATGAAGAAGCTGATGTTGCAGGAGTCACGGGCCATAGTTCAGTTCTCACGGAGAAACGGTATGAAGACAAGGAAATGACTGAATTCACAGATGGTGGTGCTCAGCTTTCGGATGACCCTGAGATCATCGTCTTGTCTGATACACCAGATGAAGACAGTGTTTACAAAAGCAAAGCAAAGAAGTCAACAAGCTCTTCAGTGCAAGGTAAAAGACGTATCCATCCAGGATCTTCCACACCAAATCATGCTGACGCTGCTGGGTGTCATAACCTGTACCCTGCTGGATCAGGCACAGACATTTCAAGGCAAAGGAAAAGCACTAGTGGGAAGCTTAGCCCAGTTAGTTCTGCTGGAGCTCCTGCCATCGAAGACGTGTTGGTAATACATGATAGCTCAGAGAAGGAGAGCTTGATATCTGAAAGTGATAATGTTGAGAGTTGGATGCTTTTGGGAGCTGGTGCAGATGACAGAGATGAAGATATAATGTTGAACCTCGAAGGCTGGGCGACTCCTGTCAGTGAAGGTGAGTACTTTCTTTAATCACTTGTTTGTTCTCCTGCATGTGGGAGGATTTGTCTGCAACGATACTGATGTCAATGTTTAAAAAGAAAGATAAACAGAAAGCAAACTGGAGTGTGTAATGATAGGTGCAAAACTATGATGAAGGAAATAGCCATTTATTTCTACCACTTCAATACCATTGTGTCAGTAGTGTTGTATATGGAAAGACAGCATTTTTGCTGGTAGAAATTTAGAAGTAATATCAGAGTGATTCACGTTGTGAACTTTCCAACTTTCCTCTATATTTTGTATTCCTGAGAGCATGCAAGATGTTGGGGCACAGCAGGGTAAAAGGGGAGTGTAATAATGAGGAAATAAAACATTTTTTTTGTTGTAAACAGAGTAAGTAGAAAAAAAAAAAAAACAGTTTGAGGACTAAAGATGTAAAGAAAATCAGACGTAGGAACTGCATAACTATAAAAAGTTTGCTGAAGAGTGCTGCAGGGTAGGAAAGTAATCAGTGCTCATAACCCAGGGAGCAGTGTCATTCCTCCTTTCATGTGATGAGATTTCTGCCCCGCTGCCCCTGTCTGCCTTGCCTCATTGCCCCTCAGTGGTGCAGACACCAGCACTTGTTAAGGCTTTGCTGTATGCTAGACCAGAGAAGTTACGACTCAGGAAAGGGATAAGCTGTGACAGGAGGGGGCAAGGGAGGGAGGGGAGACCTTCTGAGCGGGTTCCCCTTCCTGAAGCTGATTCTGTAACCACTCCTTCAGGAGTCTGGTAGTTTGTGCTGTTGATCTAAAATTTACTGTAACTTCTTGTGTGGATTCTGCATTGAATAATTCAGAGAGATTCCGAGCCACTAAGACTAACATCTAACATTTTGGTGTTTTGCAAAATATTCTTCCTCATTACGGTGCAGCAAGTTTGTGAATGTGATGATTAGCGCTACCGATTTTAGATATGTGTTTGTAACAATCATACTATGTAATACATACCTTGTCACCACCTACTAAAAACTCTGTTAGACGTTCAGGTGTGCTTTTTTCTTGCCCATTGGCTTCCTGAAGCACAAAGATCATTTCCAGGAACGGTGTCCCCTGCCAGTCTGAGAGCAAACACGTTCTGAAGAAAGGCTACTTCAATGGCAGTGCTAGCCAGGTCAGCAGCAGCGCTGGTGGGGACCTTTGCAAGGCTTTTTTTTTTTTTTATGTTTAAAAAAAAAAAATCTACTGTAATTTTACTTGGTGTACATGTAAATGAGATGGGTTTAAGTGCAGGGAAGTGACCTGTTCTGCCAGCTGACACTACTAAAGCTTTTCCTCAGGACGGCTGTATAAACTGTGCTCCTGTTCACATGCTGCTCTAGGCTGTTTGAGAGGGGAAAGCTGAGAAATTCTTTGCCTTCTTTTCTGGTAAAACACCTGTTTCTTGCCCGTAAATGTTCGATAGCTTTTTGCTTAAGAGTTCTCCTTGTGTATGTTTTCACATAGCTATCCAGTCCGTGGCTAAACAGGCCACAATGTGCACTCAATCGCAGGTGGGTGATTAAAGACACCAGCATGCTTGCCCAAGCCTCCAAGATTTAAGAAATGCTTTCCCTGTTCCCAGTGCAATGCCAGAACAGTGACAGAACATTCAGTTGCCATGCCAGAATCTCAGACAGCCACATTGTATTTGGAATTTATGTGATTGGTTTTTTCATTATAAATCGTTTTAAAATGCAGTTTCTAAGAATTAACTTGAAGTTGCTGAATTTCATTAATATCTTTCTTTTTGTATTTTCATATACTGTGCTTTTCTTTGAAACTAGAGCTAATTAGCTTGTCTGTTTCTTAAATTACTCTGCCTCTTGGGGAGCATGTGTTTGGTGCCTTGCAGTGACTGCTATAACAGCGATGCAGTTAGTTCATAGCACAGTTAATACATTTTCTGGAAGCGTCTATTTTTCTCATAAATGCTGGGCAGCAAGTGACCTGGAGTTAGGTTTCTTTTGCTTGGTTTACTTTGTGTATGTCCTTGGATTTAGGTGATGGTAGTGCTAAAGATTACCCAAAAAATACAGAAGATAGAAAAATGTTTAAACAGCGCTGGAGACTTTAACCATATTTCAGAATTACGTATACACATTTTTGGGAAACATCATTGTCATTAATTTATTGGGGTGATTGTGCTTACTAGGTGTAGCATGGAAATGAAAGTCCGTGTCTTCGTTCTTTGTGCCATTCTAGTGAAGGTGTGCCAGTGCTGTCCGAGAGAGGCTTTTAAAAATCAGTACGGGAGACAGTTTTGCTAACTTATGGTATGTTTTTGTAACAAATGCAGTACCGTTTCTTTGTCATATATATGTTCGTAGATGTTGACAATAAGCAAGTCACATTCAAAGCAGGTGACAGGAGCAGAATTTTCCTTTGCTGTATAAACCTGTCATACCGTTCAGAACCAAAATGGTTTCGTTTAACATACGCGATGTACACGTTTTTTGAGGTACTCAAATGGGAAGTCAAAGTCCACAGAAGAGGCTCATAAATACAACTGTCATAAATACTGTGATTTTTATTCTCAAAGCTTTCTTAGAACCTCCTCAAAACCCCTTCCCGCGACGTGCCTCACATCAGTAGTGGATTAGCCAACAGGAACCTTGTGCCTGGGGCGTGGGACGTACGAGACTTGCATCGGGCAGGCGCGGCCGTTTGGGAGCAGGTGCTGCTTGCACACGCACGTCTCCATTTCAGCTCTTGCCTTTCTACATGTGTGTGACTTTGCGGAAAGCCTTAACCTTTGCGTGTGTCCTCTGGCTGTGGACAAGTTAGGGATGATTGGTTTGACTCTGCCGTACGCGGTGGGCAGAGCCGAGGCCCATGCCCTGGTGCTGGCCCCGACGCAGGCATGCGCCTGAGGCCGAGAGGGTACGGCAGGGCTGGCCTCCAGTCAATCCCCTGGTTCTCACCCACCTCCCAGATCCCAGTGGATGTTACACAGGTAACCCCAGCGCACAAAAGTTTGGTTCAACGGCTCTGTTTCTAGTATGCGCGGTGATGGGGATGCAAAGATACAGGTTTAAAATAAATCAGTGCTGTATGTATGTGTGCGTGTAATGGAAAGCTGAAATAGCATCTAAATAGTTTTGGGGAACAAAAGCCATAAGTCTTCCTAGGGTAAAGTAACCGTGATTTGTTAATTGAGCTTACGCAGTATTGTATCTCCAGTTCTATACAGGACTCCTTTGCTGAAACGTAAATGTAAAAATTTTAAATCCAAAGGAAGAAATGCATGTAAATAATGTGTGTTGTCAAATTCTCCTCTCAAAGATGTTCTCTGCTAATTAATTTAAATTATTTTGAGACATGCACAGTTCTGTTTTCAGGGTTTCTAAAGAACAAGATCAAGTATTTAGGTGACTACACAGTATGTAAATTACTATTTTAGGGCTTGTAGTATCAGTAAGGATGGATGTAGAGTGTAGTGACTGGCAAGGCCTTGCCTTTTCCTTTCTCCCCCGAAACTGCCTGTGACTGTGTAGCTGGGATAGACCTCCCATGACAGTGTCACGGTGTGCCTAGTGTCCAGTTTGCTTCACGTTAAAAAGGGAACTGACACATGAACAGTTTTCTGACTATGAGAGTAGTTGGTTATGTCAGTCATTTGATGAGTCTGTTTTCGTGCCTTGGTCCCTGAAATAGAGATGCTGAGGTTCCACTGGAGTAAGAAATAACTCCTCAAGGAAAGGAATTAGGGATATCTCCTTATTCTGTTAACTCCTCTACATCTTACTTGCCTGCCTTGCTCTTGTCTAACAGCCTCAGTATTTTTAATATTCTCCATAAAGAAATAACGCTTTCTTAATGCTTCCAATGCAGAGAACGTTCTCCCCATACAGCCTTCTAGCTTCAGTCACCACCGTCTGCTGTGGCAGAAAGAGATGTCCCTTTACCTTGGGAAATGATTCACCTGTACCCTTCTGCCTTCAGCTGACATCTGAACGGTATGGCTGGCCCACAAACACCTGTTCAGTACATGGGGTTTCAGCTTTTCCTCCCTTTTCTGCCCTCTTTCCAAAAGGCTTTAGATGCCTTTCACTTTATTTTTGCTAATACCACATTAAGCAACACCATATTTGTGCCCATATTTCAGTAAAATGCAACTTTTTGTCGTATCTGCTGGTTTCTCAGCACATAGAGATGACTGGCAACCTTTCATTAATTGGGATAGAAGATGGGCACTGGCTGTCTTGTTTCACAGAGAGGGGTACCAGGGAAAGCACTTGCTGTGTCCATAGTAACTCTGTCCCTCCTTACTCCGACTTTGTGCTTCTGTGTTGAGACTGCTTTAGCTTGGAAGCGGAGCAGGCACTTGAATTACAGATGGTCGGCCAAGCTGAAAGACAGCGACCACGTACCTGTGCGTGTTACTTGCCCCCACCTGGTCATCTGTGTGTCTCCTTGCGTGGCATTTGGAAAAGTGTGTGCTGCTGCTGCTTGTTACTTTGCAAAAAGGGGCCTGCCTGCTTCAGGTGGTGTTCGAGAAGCGGGTCATTCAGCAAATTGAGGTCTTTGGTGTCATTTACCTGATTTTTTAAATGTCTAGAGTATGCAAAGAGAATCTGTTACAAATTGTAATGTAGTGAATTCATTTTTAGTGTCGGAGAGTTTCCAGGTCTTTGAAGGAGGGTTCTCCCCTCCCACCCCTTTCCTCCACTTTGCAATAAGAGTGTATAAGATAAGAACATTAATCTCCTGTAGTTGGAAGTCTTTCATCCATTCTTTCATTAAAAGCTTCCTTTTAACGTATTTCCTCTCCCATATATAGCTGCAATCCTAATCTTTGCTTTTTTTTTTCTTCTCACGGCTTTTGGAAAGACAGCTTTCAAAGCTGCAGCATTGATGTCCGGCCACTAAGGGGTACAAAAAACAATTTATCTTCTCCCTGTTTCATCCTTTGCCCACCCAGTACCTTCCTCAGAGACAACGGGATAATGTGATGGCACCCTGGGCTTGGCGGGTTTGTGGAGTGCAGTGTGTATGGTTGGTTTGCATCCAAAGTTTCTGTGAAACAGCACATAGGTGCTCTGCTGGGCTCCCGAAGAGGGAATGGTTGTTTTCTTCTCTGCTCTGATTTTTTTGTTATTAACACAGTAGCGAGGCTTTTACAAGAACATCGCTAGAACTACTACTTCTCACACGAGAAGTTGTTCCTAAGAGTTACAGCCCCCGCATATCGGTCTGCCCTAGTAAAGACCTGCGTGGTCGTTGCCCTGCAGCCTGCAAGCCTTGTCAGAAGCCCCCGGTGCAGCCTCCCTACAGCTCTGGCCGCGTTTTCGTGACATTTGCAGGCAGCAACGCAGCAGGCGATAGTCTGAGCAATTCCCACGTGTGCTGCTCAGCGCAGCTGCTGCTTGGGGCGTCCCGGGGGGTCTGTCAGCCCCCGGACCAGGGACTGACTCAGCTTCTGTTCAGGTGCAGCGCCTGTTTAGCCAGAGCTCACTCCAGCCCCGGGGCACAAAGAGGCTCTGTACCAAGGACGACACTGCACTTTGGCTTGAGCATTTTGTTCCATGACGGCGTAGAAGCCATGTGTGGTGTAGCTTTGGCTGTGAGGGTACCTCAGACAAATGATGGGCAGGAGGCTTGGAGCAGAAAGCACGAAACTCAGCTGAGGCTTACGGGGTGTTGCGAGATATTTTTAAATCTGCTTATCACATGATCGTCTAGCTATCTGAATAGACGAAGTAAGTTTTGTGTTTCCTAACAGATTGGCTTCTGGAGTTTGGTAAAATGTGGGTATTTTTAATCTTCTCAGTTGACACTAGTTATGAAAGGAAGCCAGAGTTCAAGGGATAAATCATTTCACTTGGTGCATGGGATTTTATGTAAACTTTTGCTCTTGCTGTCTTGTAAAACTGCCCGGTACAAAAAGAAATAGTGAACATAAAATAAAGTGCAAGCTAGTATTTCCAAAGCAGTTTTTTCAGCTTTCCATTTTAGCATCCATTTCTGTCTTGTTTTCCAGGTTTAGAGATCTTTCTATGCACTGATTTTTAGCCTTAGTAATCTAGTCTCTCATCTAGTCCAAGAAATCGTAATGAAAGTACCTCTGTAAAAT